ATACATATACATATATATATATATATATATATATATATATATACGTAAATGATGTTGATGCTCTAATCCACGAATTGACGATACGGATCGTTCTTTTTTCTTCTTTTTTTTTTTCGACGCGTTTAACGTTTCCTAAATAAAATAATCGAATGATAAATTCGTTATGATACAGTCGGAATGTTCGCCGCACGACTAGAGATTTAACCGATCAAGTCTCGCGATTTCTTTGTTAACCATTCCTTGCTCCACCTTGTTTTTCGCGTTAAAAATTTTAAAATAAAATCGCGTTAAGTACAATATTTCCCGATCGAATCGATTCCAAGTATCCCCATACTCGAAACGCATTCCGCAGAACGTTTCACGCTACAATTGCGCGATTATCCCTATTTGTCAAACACCTGCACGAAGGTGCAGATTTTTCGCATTTTGAAACAATTTGGCACACATTCGTCAAAAATATCCACACAGTACATATGATCCACAAAGGATATATATCATTCTTCACGGCGATGAGTTGACGATCTCGATTGTTCGTCGTTCGAACGGATGAAAAAAAAAAAAAGAACGAAAGAAAAGAAAAAAACGGAAGAGCGAAGGCACACAGGATGCGTGAATTGTCGAACACATCTTCTTATCTTTTTCGTAACAATATACGTAACAACGATATGCCTACCATTGGTCGAATCTCGTTAAAAAAAAATAATAATAATAAAATAATAAAATGAGCAAACGCGCGATTATAATAAAAAAGATCTTATTATACAACGGATATTAGGGGGGAAGGGGTCTCTCTCGTTACAATTATTTAAGTTCACGGGGCCGATCATTCGTATATTCACAGGATCACACATTCGTACGATCACATTCAAACCGCATTTATCTTTTTTTTTTTTATAAATCGATTAACTTATATTTAATATACTTAACAGCTACGTTGAGTGGACGGTACGTTTGCGACACGTTGCAATCGCTTTATTATCCGCACATTTTCCAAATAAAAATCAACGCGTGGTGTGCGAGGATTCCGCGAAAAGAAAAATGATATCCGTTTCTCCTCTCGCTAACAGGGGAACGGAGGTGATGAAACGTTATTGCACAGCAGCAGGAGATTCGACGTTGGTCCTCGAAAAAATTGTCCAAACGTTTCTCTACGTTTCCGTAGATCGAAGAAGCTCGTTCGAAAGTCGTTCAAAGGTCGATTCGAAAGTTTATTCGAACGATTGTTTACTTTTTTTTGTCTTCTCTTTTAAACGAGGACGCAGTTCGAAACTTGCAGTTGGCCCTCGATCTCGACGAACGAAAATCGTTTCGATATCCGGGCATACGCGTCGAGAACAAAGAAAAAATTGGTATTCATTCGCGGAATCGATGGCAGAATTTCGTTGTACAGTCGTGACGGACCCCGAACGACGGTCCAAAACAAACACGGCGAATAACAATTTTTCTCAAATATCAAGAGGAATTGTTCGCCCTCTTGAAATAGCTTCTAAAACGTCGAAAGCTTTTACTTAGGGGAAAGAGCGGCGGAGGGGGGAGGGGCCTCGCTCGTTCCTTTCCTTCGTCCCTCCTCGCGCGCGACCTCGTTTCCACGGGTACGAGTGGCGCCGCACAATGCTCGCGATTGAAACTTCGCCACGCGGAACAAATTCTCTCGCGCGCGCTCGAAAGAAAACGAACCGTTGGCATCCGTTGGCTTTCAAACTCGTGCCTAAAAAACCTACCAACGCTTACACGCTTCGTCCCCCCACCCGGCGTGAAATTAATCTCGATAAAAAACTCTCGCTCTCCGTCGGAAAGAGAAAGAGCTCGAATCGTGGTAAAAATCTCGCGAATAATTTTTACTCTCTCGAAATATATATATATATATATCTCGAGAGAAGAGTGGCCGTTCTGCGCGGGAAGATGGCGGAAACAAGAGGGGGAAGCGCGTTGGAAATGACGCGCGGTTTTCACAACTCGGTGGTGGTTTCGACCGGGCTCTGCTCACCCAGATACGTGAATCCCAGATGGGAATAGTCCCTTTTCTCCCTGAACGTCACGTTGTCGTTGGAGGGGCTCGGGCTGAGCAGCGAGTCGTTGCCGTGGTTGTAGAGCGGGTTCAATACGGGCGTCGCGTCGTGGTTGTTCAACGTGGCGGTCGCGTTGCAGCCGTTGTTCTTTCTTCCAAGTGTGGATCGCCGCAACGAGTGGATGTTCGTATCCGCGTGAGTCCCCGCTATGCTCGAGGCGCGCGCCGTGGTCGCCGCCTCCGAGCTTACAGGGCTCTGCTGACCTGCGAACGGACACAGGTGGACAGTGATGAATAGAACTCTCTCGATATTTCGCCCGATACGGCTGTTTTCAATATACGAGCGAGCCAGAAGCGGGAAAGAACGAGGATACGTTCTCGAAAAAAATTTCAAACTTTTCTGCTCTGAGATCGAGGAAAATATATATATATATGAGTGTGAATTGTATATTTATTTAAGAGTTTCGAAGTTTAAGAGAAGGATGAAAGGTGTACGTATGAAGCGATACAGGGAATTTCTCGGGGAGGGGATATGTTGGAAGTTTAACGCGCAATTAGTTTGCATTCTCTATCTTTTTTTGCACTCTTATCTTTAACCTCGTTCCCTTTCGGTCGCGCGATACTTTATATACATATCCTTGTAAAATATTTTTATCAAAAGGTTAAAAAAAAAAAAAGAAAACAGTCTCGTTCTTTACGTTCAATATTTATCGCCTCTCGTTGAAAAAAAAAAAAATAATCTTTGATTTTGAAATTCGATCGATCCAATAAATTTGGAATCTCGTTCAAAACGTAATGATAAAATTGAAAAGATAATTATGATTGCGAAACGAGATATTATATTTATAAAAATGTTTTCCAATTACCGGTACTCTCTCCGTGATCTTTGGTAATGTAGCTAACGTTGTCCAGGCTGAACGCGTGATTCTTATTGCTGAAATCGAGCTGAAGGTCGTTGTAACTGTCGTTGTCGTCAACGGGCACGCTCATTTGAAGCACCTGCGTCTCGTATTCCTTCAAATTCGGCTCCACGTACACGGGATCGTAACGGGGCACCACGTACATCCGCTGCATCCGTTCCTTGTACGCCTTGTATCTGTGTAACGAAACGAGAGAGTGCGAGGAAAATTTGGGCGTGTCGAAACCCGAGCAAGAGTGAGAGAGAACGAGATACGAAGAAGAACGGCTGATGTATCTTAAACGCGGTTGCTAAACGTTTTAAGAGAGGCGGCCAAGCCGGAAAGTCGTAATTAATTCTACGAGGGGTAATAAAGGAACGATGAATTTGCACGGTCGGTACTCGTTAATCGAACGATGAATGTATTCATTTCGACGCTTGAAAACATTTTCTTCTTTCACGCGATAAGAGAACAATTCTCCATGAAATTTTTCAAATCGAATCGTGATAAAAAGCAATGTTCGTACAATAATTTTTCTGTTCCGTCACGTTACATATTATTTGGCACTCAAATTCATATAATATCATTGCTTCATATAACTTTCCACTTAACGTATTATATATTATTATTACAAAAGTATTCGAAATTCTTCAACGTTTCCCGTGTTTTATTAAAAAGGTTGAAAACATCTTTATTAAAAAGATATGGCTTGTTGGAAAAAAGAAAGAGAATTAAGCTCACTCACCTGGACCAGGATACGCAAATGTAGACGATACCAGCAACGCCTAGAATCAGTATGACGCAAGCGATGATGATCAACGCGTACGGGAACACCTCGCCGCTGAAAGCAATGGCGGTCTGAGTGCGTATCGGTTCCGGTGGCATCACTGGCGCGTGGATGTCTATCGCGTTGGCTCGAACCAACGTGGACACGTCGAAAGTGATGTTCGACATGGCCGTCTTCTCGAATATCGATCTGCAACGCGCAACCATTGATTTCCTTACTACGGTTTGTCAAGGTACGAAGTCCAAGTCGCGAATATGTGGCAATTCGTTACACGTTGACTCGTGTAATTGTTTCGTGGCAATTGCTTTCGATTTACCGACAATTTTAAATCGTAAATTTTTGAAAATTCGAGACAAGTTTCGCTTTATCCGTTTTTTTAACTCGATTGGAATCGTGGAATATAATCGTTTGTTGTCAATTTCGCGACGCAAAGCTTCGATATCTTTGACACAATTTTTTCGCGACCTGTATCGATTTTTCGTGGCGAGAAGCGCTTTGCGCGGTTTACGCGGTTATCGCTAAAAATAAAATCTTTTCAACCTCTTTTCAACTATTATTATTAAAGCTCGTGCATTTTTTGTTTTTTTGCACGCGACACATTCGACCGTTGATCTTTCGTAAAAATAGAAAAAAATATATATTTTAAATAATTCACATTTTTGCAAATGATTTGCAAAAACGTCTCACCTTTGTATCCTCGAGCTGTTCCTGTCCAAAATAGCCTCGGTGTCCGGGTCGATCGCGTAGAACCACACGTCCGAATCCTGAGGATACATCTCGATAGTTCCATTCTTCGTCAAATTCTTCCTCACCGCTATCCTGTCTATCCCGATGAGAAGCTCGCTCCTCTCCTCGATGATCCCTGCAATCTTGGACGCCTCCTTCTGCAACGTGTCGGGCGACGCGTCCTGGACGACGAGTATCATCAGATTCTCCTCGCCTATGAGATTCACTATCACTGGGGCAACGATCGAGTTGAAATTGTCGGTCGAGTTGGGATTGTCCCGAACTCGAACGTCGAATTTGAAGGGAAGCTCGGCCGGGTCGACGTTGTCGAAGGTAGCGGTCGTTCTTATTATGCCGGAAGAGGTGTCCATCGCGAAGTAATCCGATCCTCGCCCCCCCAGTATCCTGTACTCGAGCTTCCCGTACTTTCCGTTGTCCTTGTCGTGGGCCTTCACCTGGATCACCGTTGAACCGAATTGCGCAGACCGCGGAATCGCGGCGAAGTAACGCCCCCTCGACAATTTCGGATCGTTTTCGGGGAAGATGAATTCAGGCTTGTTGTCGTTCACGTCCAGCACCTGAATCTTCACCTGGTGATTCAAAAGATTTGAGAAATTGGAAATTTCCATATTATTTATAATTCTCTTTTTTAGATCGTCGATTATTATTGATCTCTTCGATTTTTGGTAATTTGGATGACTACGTTAATAAAGATCAATGAAAGATTTGAGATACTGGAAATTTTTATCATTGATTATCATCGATTCGATACGATTTTTGATTAAAAATGTAGGGAGACGAGAGATCGCAGCAAGAATCGATATCGAGTCGATTTAAAAAAAAAAAACTTCTCACCATGGTCGTATTTCTGCCGGAATTCAACAGACCCGACAAAGACTCGAGCTTAATCTTCACTTGATAGGATTCCGTCGTTTCGTAATCCAAAGCGCCTTTCTTCAATTTTAGGGCGCAATTCCTCTCCTCCGTGACGCCCGCCTCGAACAAATCGTCCTCGTTCCCACTGTAAATTTCGCATTTCAACGGGGTCGTATCGTGAGCGTGGCTGTTTATTATCGTGATTATCTTGATAAGAGTGTTGTCGCCCGCGTCCTCGGGCACCTCCACGTTGTACGAGTTCTCCGCGAACCCTAACCCGATCTCCGGAGGCACCGTGGCAACGTGGCGAACGTAAACAGGGACCGTAGTCACCGAGGATAATTGAGGCTCGCCCATGTCGTACGCCCGCACGTCGACCTACAATGTTTACATGATCGAAATCGTTTCCATCAGTTGTGTGGAAATGGAAATAAATCGATGGAACAAATAACAGGGGCAAAGATTTTGTTTTTTTACGAATGAAATTAAAATTACCGTACCTGATACTCGGTGTCCGTTTCTTTGCGCAAATCGTCCCTCACCCTGAGCACACCGGTGTCCGGATCGATCATAAAGTATTTGTTGGCTATTCCACGTCCCACGATTTCGTATCTTACCTGTGCGCGACGAAGAAATATAATAGGACAACGATGAAAATTAAGAATTTCTAGGCAAAAGAGAAATTGGATTGTGTTCGGAAAGTAATTTCATTTTGACGAATACCGAGTCATTTCACGTGATCCACGAACAGTGGAATTCTGGATCTCGTAGCTTCCAGAAACGTGGCGACGAACGAAATTTTGAAAACCAGTTTTCACAATGGTGTACCGTTAATACACCTTCTTCATAAACTTCGCGTAACTTTTTTCTTGCCTGAACAGCACTCTCATTTTTTCGATAATATAATAAAATATGCCGAAAATGCTTCTTTCGATCTCGCATTTTTGTTATCGCGCACGAGAAACACAAATCGCACAGAATCGAACGAATTTTTCTTATAAAAACAAACTGCCAACTCTCGAAACGTATAACGATACAGTTTAGAATGAAGTTGGCTGGATAAACGCTCGACTAGCGCGACACGCAGTGTGAAAAAACGAATTACTTTCCGAATAACCCTAGAGTTAGTTAAATATCGATCGAGCCTCGCGTTTCTGGTGTCCAAGATCGATTCGAATCGAAGCTAAAAGAGAGAAGATGGATAAAAGGGTCGCGAGTTAATGACATAAATCGATTAAATCGTGGCTAAGATCCGTCATTCGGGGATTAATCGAATACGTACCTGATTTCCGGGCGCAGTACCATCCGAATCCGTCGCTATAAGATTAATGACCGTCGTGCCAATGGGAATGTCGTCGTCTAGCGTAATCGGGCGAGGAACTGACGTGAACACTGGCGGGATGTCGTTAACATCCTGGATAAGGAATAACAACGCCATTCTCCATTACAATGAACACTATTACCGTTCCCCGAATTAATCAACGACATCCATTTGATCGATAACGAACGATCGATCGAAATAGAGAAATAGAACGTGCGAAAGCAACGAAACGTGCAATTTATCTATCGATACAAATTTGAATGATTCGGTTCAACGGTTGCGCGAAAGAACAAACGACAACGAAACAGAGAGAGAGAGAGGTCGATACCTGGACGTTGACCACGACCCTCGTGGTTGAGCCAGGCAGATCGCTCGTGTTCTCAACGGTGCCGATTATAAGGATGTGTTGGCTCTCCCTCTCGTAGTCCAAACCGCGGGTCGTTTTTATCACTCCCGTTCTCGAGTCTATGGCGAACAGTTCGGTATCCCCTTGCTTGATCATGTACGTGATCTGCTTCTTTGTATCCGGATCATCGGCCTGGAAGCGGATCATCGCGTTTGTTTTAGACACACGGAGGAGGGGAGGGGGGGAGGGGAGAGGGATCCGTTCGGCCAGAATTTACCTTCCTTCCGCCGCGATGGCGAGAATACATAAATTATTTCGCGCACCGTTTGACGTCGACGTCTGTTGTATGTAAATTGTGTATGTAATAAAAATTAAACCAAGTTTTTAGCAATTTAGATATGGGAAATTCGATTTTTTTTCTGCCAAATGAAAATTTTAACGCATTCATGCATTTTTGATGTAGATTTTTTTCTTCTCTCTTTATCGATTATCGGATAATCATCGTAATAAGTAAACGAGACAAGATGAATATACGAATAAAACAACCGTTAGTTTTCACTCGGTTGAGCCGAGTTTTCTTGTTATCAAGCGGGGAAATGACTCGAACCACTCACCGTTACTTGAAGCACCGTGTAATCCGGTATATTCTCCTTAACTCGTGCCTCGTAGCTGCTCTGATGGAAAACGGGAACCTCGTCCTCCACGTCTATTACTTTCACCGTCACCGTTGCGGTTGCTAAACGATAATCGGGAGCACCGTCTCTCGCGGTCACCACAAATTTGTATTCCTGGAGGAACGTAATCTCCTTGCAATCTACGACTTAAGATATCCGACTTGGACCCGCGAAGGGAACGACAGCAAACGAGTTTGCTCAAAATCGTTAAATGCGTTTACGTTTATTTAGCGTCAAGAAAAATTTTTCCATTCTGACTTCCTAGGACGAGCCACGTGGTTTATTACACGTTTTTGCTCGAATTTTTGTTAACGTTAGTTTTTCATTTTTATTCGTCAGTTTTGCTTTTTAGCTAGTATTTTTTCTAGTAATAATTTTGCAACCGTGAAAATGGCAAACACGAAAGAGTTTTCTTTTGAAAGATGCGGAAATCTGTGAGGAAATTTATTTACGGATAAGTTATTCGAAGTGATAATGAATCGGACGAAGAAAATGATGTTTCTAACGATGACAGTGAAATTGTCTAGAAAGAATCCTCAAAAGCGTATATGTCAATTCTGCCAGGTTCCAAGAGTGAATGTCATACTCTTAAGAAAAACATTAGAGGTACAAATAAATAACTTTGTGAAATTTTATCAAAAACACAATCCGTCTGTTAAATGTCAAGCTCGTTACATGCAATGTTACAAAGCGTAGAATGATATTAATGTCGAATAGTCATTATCAATCCGAGTTCGTGACGATAGGAATATTATTCTCAAAGTTTTCGTAATGATTGGTTCAAGATGGGTTTGATATCTCGTTATTGAATTAAATTGAAATTACTTTTATTCGAAGAAATTGACGAGATAGAGAGAAGGAAAGCAAGGATGAAGATAGAGACATAAAAAAGAATAAGTATTCGCGAATAAAAATTGACACAGAAATTGAAATTGAAGAGACTACGAAGTGTGAGGAAGGCGCTTTAAAATTTATTCAACTATCTCTCAAAAAAAAAAAATGATCAAGAACCGAGGAAGACAGAGGAAAAACCTGCGTTAAAGTCAAAATCGATCAGTCTATCGTCCCCAAGCGGATTAAAAATCGTGTAAATCGTGAAAACGCGAGATTATTTACGTCGTTCTGCTCGTAATCAAGCACGATCTTGGTGAGCACGTCCCCGGTTTCAGGGTCGACCGTGAACGGGATATCGTCGGGCGCGAAGTACGTTATTTCCGCGTTTATCCCTTCGTCCGCGTCCTCCGCGTGCACGCGGCCGATCAGCTTCCTGGCCTCGCCCTCCTTCACCGAGAACTCGTACGGAAGGCCCACGAATTCCGGATTCTTGTCGTTGATGTCCGTCACTTTGATGTTCACCGTCGCCGTGCTGAACAGGCCGCCCGAATCCTCCGCTTTTATCAGCTGGTGGAGCAAAGATTTTGAATCGAAAACACAACTCGTAAGATTAAGATTGTTGTAGAATGCTTGGCTTACCAGTTGATAACGGGTCAGGTCCTCCCTGTCCAGCTTCCTTATAACGGTGATCACGCCCGATTTGTCGCCGATCGCAAATTGGCGGAGGTCGTTCCCCGAGACGATCGAGTACGACACCGGATCGTTTTCTGGATCGACTGCCTATTAAAGAAACGTGGAAATGGAATCTTTTGTAATTCTAACAAAAACAACGTTGCAAACGCGCAAGAAGGATCTCTTTTCGAGCGAAATATTTAATTGGATTTTTATATGCCTTGTAAAAAGGCTTCTAGAGACTTTCTAGAGATAGAAAAATTGAGAGAGAACCTTCTTGCAATTGAATTAAATTAGTAAAATTACTTTGTTGCTTTGCGTCGAATTATTTATTAACGAAACGTAGAAATATTCTTTTCTTTTCTCTTATTTCCAATTTTAATTGTTGCAAGAATGACAGATCTCTTTTCGAGCAAAATATTTAATTAGATTTTTATACATGCTTTGTAAAAGTTTCATGATTTTCTAAATATACAAAAATTAAAATTTGAGATTATCATTTTCACCAGGAAAATTATCTCCTATACGTTTGACAAAGTTTGCGCGCATTCTTTTCCAATTCTAACTATTGCAAAAAGAGGAGATATCTCTTTTCGAGAAAATTACAAGAATTAAAACCGGTCACAAGTGAATTTTCAATATGAAAATTGCGCGCAAGGATCAATTAATAAAATCGTAAAATATAAAAATGGGGGCGCTCACGGTGATGGTCGCGACCGTGGAATTGATGGAGGCTCCCTCGCTCACTTGCACCTCGTACACCGGTTGCTGGAAAACGGGGCTCCTCGTGTTAGGGCCGGGGATCACGTTCACCTCGACGATCGTCTGCGAATATTTTCCACCCTTGTCGGTCGCCTGGACCGTGATGCTGAACTGCTCGCCGGCGTTCAGCTTCCTCACCGACTCTATCACGCCCGTCCTCGGCTCGATTTTGAATTTATGCAGCCCGTTATTCGACACGTGGTAAATGCTGTACGTTATCTCGGCGTTCTCCCCCTCGTCGTTGTCCGTAGCCTCGACCTGAATCGAAAACCCGCGTCGATAATTTCGAACTTCGTCGAAACCAATTTATTCCATTTCCCCTCTCCTTTCTTTCTCCCTTTTCAGAAATTTGTTCCCGTACTGGTTTTCATCTCACGAAATTTCTTCTTCTTTTTAGAGTTGAGTTTTTAGAGTAGCAAAGGGGAGCCGATTAATTAAAAAAGATCGAAATAAAGTGGAGGAGAGGAGAGTGAAATGTGTGATGGTGAAAAATATTTACTTACCTTTGTTACCACCTTCTTCGTTTCCCCAGCCTGGACGGTGATAGGAGGTATCATGGGGAGCATAGGTGCATTGTCGTTAACGTCGTTTAATATCACAACGAAGGACAATGGCGCAGAAGCGGCGACACCCGTTTTTTCTCTGGCTACTACTTGAAACCGGAAGCGGCCAGGGCTCGGGGGATCTCGGTCCAAATTCTCCTCGTTCACGACCAGCATGCCGGATGGATCGATCGCGAAAAAATTCGTGGTCAACTCGAACGAGTAAGCCGGCTTCGGATCGTCGGGCCCCTGCGAAACGACACGAGCGATCAAAATATATTTCTTTCCAATTCCTCGTTTCTTCTTTCTCTCGCCGTGATAAAAAAACGTATAATATAAGGCGAAAGAGAACGCAGGCGCATTTTTATAAGAAAGATCATCGTTTTATACGAAATATATGCGCGTGGTGGAATAACGCTTTTCGAAAGCTTTAACCACACGTTTGTGGTTTGCTATCTCGGCGAATGATCACGTGACGCAACAAAGTTGCAACTGACCAATGGCCACCTTCGAGTGGAACGCGCAGAGAGGGCGCACGCAGTTTCGCTGACATATTCGAGACGTCAAACAAGTTGATCCACTTCCGAATATTGGAATATTCTCGAATGGTACACCGTTTATATTCGTCGACAATCTTATTTCGATGTTTCTCGAATTCTCGAAGGATTTTGGCGTCTCTACGCCAATTATTTTTAACGATACGTGCTAATTGAGACGGTCGGTTGTTACATTGCACAATCGGCGTTATTGAATTGAAAGAACGTTGTAAATATTCATTTTTATTTCTCCTCCCTTTCACCGAGTTTTCCTTCTTTGTTTGTTTATTTCTTCTTTTGTATACACGGTGTTCATAAAAACATGAGACGCCTTTCCAGACGTCAAAACTTCAATACTTTCGATGAGGCTCGATTAACGAGTCGCACGCATTTTAAGTTTGTATTAGTATTATTGAGCGAGATAATGAAAGAGCGAGAGCGCTCGGTTGGCAATGTCGCTTGCGATATAACGGCAGAGTAACCGATATATCTTTTTATATACAATTGATTAATTTAAACGAGTTTCAACGGTATGATTTAACTACGCAAGATTTTTTTTACATCTTTGAAAGAAACACAAACATTTTAATTACGCAATTTGATACAAACTCGAAATGCTTGTAACTCGTTAATTAATCCTTTGTGCTTCAATGATGACTCTCAGGCACCACTCGGTTCGACGCGGCAATTCGAACGGCGACGATATTTATTTATGTTTGATTTTTTTAAAATATCACGAGTAGATTATAAAGCATTCGAATAATATCGAATGATTAGATTTTTTTATATGAAAATTTTTTATATTTCTATCGTCGCGATAGAAATATTATTTTCAAAGTTTTGTAAGCATAGAATGAAATTAGTTTAAACGAAGACGAGTTTGATTTTTTTGTTATTGAATAACGAAATTATTTCTATTCGTTAGAAAAATTATAAATAGAGAGAAAAATAGAGATGTAGTATAAGAAGATGAAAAATAAGAATGTGAGAGCACATTATAGGTTTGTTCTCGATAAAATAAGAAAGTTGAAAGACATCGAACGACATTTTATCGCGATACTCGTCCTGACGCATCTTTATATTACTTTATTATTAAAATATCTCACGAAACAACGATACAGACTTTAATATCCAACAAATTCTCTTTCTTTATACGTAAAGACACACAAAATATAAATGTTTTCATGTCTAGGATCCGAAAGTCAATTCTCTCCAAAAGTGTCCCTCATTTTTACGAACACCCTGTATATATTCGATGCTTTTTTTTTCGATGCGAAGAAAAGAGAAATTTTTACGAATCGAGACGATGTTAAATCCTAAGTTTAAAGTTTACGTAAGCAACAAACGTGGTATTTTTTCTTTATCGAAGCGTATTCGAGGAATTTATGCACAGATAATGAAACAATGATGGATCCTTTAATTATCGACGCGAATGGACGGCCAAGTAAGATACTTGGGAGAGACGGATGTCCAATAAGGCGTAAATCGGATGTGACGCGACGTATCCGTCCTCGACGGCTCATTTAATTGGACGTTGCACCAAAAACAAGTCGTGTTCCACCGAATTTAATTCATAGAAATTCTCTGCTATAAACTGATTCGTCATTCTCATTATTCAAACAAACGACAATCGATTTAACAATCGATGCAGATTTTGTAATTGTTCGTCAAATTGTTCGAGCAATTAAACAAAATCTATCGAATTGCGATACGTGTACAATTCGTTACGATTCGAAATACACGCGTTTCGTATGTCGAAAAACGAACACGTTAAGATTAAATAAATCGAAACTTACCAAATCGGCGTCCGAAACGGTGAGCACTATAGGATCGCCATGCTTGTCGATAACCTTCGTCCCGATCGGTGCATTCTCGTCCACGAACCCCTCTATACTCGATGCCGTTATAATAGGAGGGTTGCTGTCCACTGGCTTCACTGTAATCGTCAATTTGGCTGTGGCCGATCGTTTCGCTTCTGACACTTCGACAGCCTTTTTTTTTTCACCCCCCGCCAAATAAAGGAACGAATTAATTTCTTCGCTTACACAAAAAAGAAGAAGG